ATGAGGTGATGATGGTGCCTGTCGTAATAAATATAAAATGTTATAGCTTGGTCTGACTAAAATGTTGTGCATGACCCATTCTGTGTTAGGAGCTTGTTTTCAATCAATGCTCTACCTATGTGAGAACAATGGACAGAGGACCATCTCTTGTCAAGGACAACACCCACGCCTCCAGGCCACAATCTATGTGGCTCCCCACGAGTTCTTTTGACACAAACAATTCTCTGTGGAAACTATACTTCTTTCTACTGATCGGGTGCCTAGGGCAGAGGACTCTGCTGTGCACAAATGGGGCTTCTGCTCTGGACAGAGCAGACGCGCCTCCTACGCCTCGGGAACTAATCGAGGGACTAGAAGAGGGACCCCTTTCATTGTGTTGCATGGTATAAAGTAATGCTGAAAACTCTGTTTTTTATCCCTTCTCAACTGTTCTCCATAAGAGGCAATTGAATGGGTCCATGCATGTAGCTTGAGCAGATACCAGCTATCTCTGTGTTTAATAAACTGCCTTTTTGCTTAAACATATTCCTCTCCGTCTAGCGTCGTTGGTTTGTACTTCCTCTCCTTATGGTTTCACCAACAAAAATGGTAGCAGAGGATGGTTTTTAATTCGATCTAAAAGTTGGTGCGAGAGGAAAAGGCAAATCATCGATCTAAAAACAGACGGAAGAGTGACCTGAAAATCCTGGAGACATCAACTATTCGTCTTGGCTCAGGAAACCTGATCAGAGCGCGCTCTTCTAAAAAGGTAAGCAGAGCCTGTTAAAACGAAATCTTGCATATTGTACTATAGACCAATACCAAATTATGATCAGTAGTACTGAGTGTGAGTATGAATACTTGTTAAATAATTTCCATCCTAAATGAATTAAGGCATAAATGAGATATCTGGTACTGTGAACACTGAATACTGATTGTTGTATATTATGAGAGTCTTACCAGTGGCTGAAGACTGAGGATTGTATCTTATGGGTTAAATTACGATTTAACGCAGTATGTGGATAAGATTTGACCCACAACTAGATTCCTAAAGGGACCCAGTTTGAACTGAGACTTTTTGCATAAATCCTATTAGGGGAGGTCCTACCCTATAGGTTGCGAGGAGGTTGAAGTCAAACTGTGGCAGAGTTCTAGACATTAGGTGGGGGAGAATCACCGAAATTGACCAGAGGTACTAAATTCCCGGGATGCCAGTTATCTTTGTGATTTCACATTTAAAACGTTCCATATAAATGGTTGTGTGAAAGGTACAATTAAGCTGAGACTAAGTTTTTCCCAGTGATTGAGTTGTCTAAAAAAAATAAAAATAAAAAAATTCCTTTGATAGGGATCCAGTTGCTTCTGTGACTTCACATAATGAAGGTGCCTTTTAAAGGTTGTGTGAAGGGTGCAGTCGAACTGAGACTATGTTTTAGGACGCTCTGGTAATCTAAATTCAAGTTGCTTCTCCGACTTCACATGTTAAATTGGTCCTTACAAAAAGGACGTGTGAAGGGTGGTAGTCGAACTGAGAATGTGTTTAAGGACTCTTGATAGCCTAAATACATTCAGCATTGTAATTCCAATTGGCTTTTGGCTGTGTGTTTTCATGCATTATAACGTGTAACTTTTGGCTGTGTGTTTTGATGTATTATAACGTGTAATGAATGATGGGAAGTTATAGTGAGACTTATGAGACTGAACACCAATCTGTGGATTAGAGTGAATTTGACCTAGGGTTTCAGGAACCGGGGACTGGGGAAACTGATATTGAGGTTGTGCACGATTCTAGAACAAGCGTGGATAACTAAAGCGTGGTGTGTGCTGTGTGTGGAAATTACTGCATTGGTATATGTGACTGAAATTCTGATTTTTATGATAAAGATTGCATTACACATAATATAAAAACAATCAGCCTCTTTTTATACGAGGGTGTCGTACATGAGATAAGTCTGTAATTGATACCGATAATACATCCTTGGAAATAAAACTCCAGGGACGGGATAAGTGTATTAAAGATAGAGAAAGCAAGATGGCAGGACCAAACATAACTAAACCCAAGTTTAATGAATACCTAGAACAGCGAATGACAGAGAGAGCAGGGGGAAAAGAACAGTATAAGACAGTTAAAAAAGTATGGGAGCAGGTGAAGCTGAGATGGACACAGGCAGGTTACCTCAGAGGGGGACCTCCCTCGGAGGAAGAACTCAAGATTATGGAGAAAGGTCTAGAAGTGGCAGTTGAGAAAGCCAAGGGGGAGGAAGAAGGAAAGAACAAGGCACATAAGTTTAAGAATAAGGGAACTAAGGATAGAGAAAGGGCTGAGGGAGAGCTGAGAATAGGGACATGGGCATTAGAGGAGAGCAGGAGGGTGCACCCAAAGACGATGTGTGTGGCCACTGCAGCTCCAGTAGAGATGCAAACCCCATTCAAGGGTTCTCCTACAGCTCCCCCAGAGGCCAACACCAGCACCACACCTGTTCCCACTACACTATACCCATTGTTAACAGAGGAGGCACTGCGGCCCCCACCATACACACCAGGACAGGATCACAAAATTCAGACACACCACCAAACCAATCCATTTCTCTCCATCCCTCATCCTGCAATACAGGCCCCTGTTCTAACAGTAGGAGAAGGGAGCCTGAAAGGCATCATGACCTTTGACATATCTGGAGGGCAGTTGCTGTGTGAACAGCCGCCCTCTACCAGCACTCCATATCAACCCAAAGAACGAGAAACCCTGAGACGGGAAGAAGGGGGAGACCCGCCCTCTCCTGGAGGTCGCTCCCTGCTCTCTTTTAACAACCCTGTGAGCGGAATGAATAGTGGGTGCCACCAACAACTGAACCCAGAATTTTTCAGACAACATTCTTCACAGGACCTTAAAAGGGAAAGGCGTGGCCAATTGAGCAATCAAAGCAGAGATATGGAAGATGATGAAGACAGAAGAGCTTACATTAGCGAACTGGATAAAAACAGAAGGATACCCACTGAAGATGAAATAGAAAGTGAAATTAAAAAATTGGAAATCCAATTAGGAAGATCCCGAGCTGAAGTTGAGGTGCTCCTTGCTCCAGGTGAGAACGAAGGGGCCGAGTACCTAGTGGAGGGAATAATGAGAGGAACAGTGACAAACGTGACAGATACCTTGAGAGATATCACAACACATGAGCAACATCGGAGGTCAGCCAGAGTGGCAGAGAGGAACAGGACAGGAGGACCCCAAAGAACAGACTGGGAAACCGAAAGGTCAAGAATGTGCCCTCTCAGGCCTGCAGCTAATCCGGCCTATGTGGAGTATGAACCATGGAAGATGACTGATTTGACTACACTAATGGAACAAATGCCCAGTCTGCATGGAGGAGCGTCCTCCTGGTTGAACAAACTACAGACCCTCACATCAGGTCTGAACCTATGTCTAGGAGACATGAGGGCATTAGTTGCAAGAGCAACCAATCATGGAACAATGACAAGCATCATGAAAGCTGCAAACCTAGATGGAAGGGCAGCTACCCTGCCTCTAGATCATTTCAGGACAGATCTATGGGATGCGCTGCGAAGGGCCTACCCCACAGAAAGAAACCAGGCCTCGCTTTCCTCCTTCACCATAAACCCAGGAGAGCATCCATCAGAGTATCTAGACAGAGCGAAAACAACCTGGAGAACAGTGAATGAAGAGCCGTTTGATCACACTGATACAACCCTCAACATGTGGAAGGAGATGGTGATCAATGGATGCCTAGGGGAGGTGAAGACCAAGCTGCGTGCAACAGTGGGTCTCACAACCCTTCCTTTGACGCAATTTAACGCACATGTGCACCACCACGTTACTCAACACAACAAGGACAAAGGGGGAGCTGAGAGTCAGGTCCAATCTCTCCAAGTACAACTACTGAAACTCCAACTAAAGGAGGCACAAAAAGGAGAAAAACCAAAGAAACAAATGCTAGCAGAAGAAACAACAGGTGAGAACGTGATGCCTGACGTCTCTCAAATTATAGCCGACTGTATCCCAGATGATACAATTACAAACACCCCCTCTCCAAGGAAATCTGGACCAATACCTGCCCCAACCATCATTTCAACCAACCCAACCTTGGCGAAGAACCTTTCCAACTCCAAGGGATGGGTACTATCTGTGTTACAATTGTGAAACACCCGGCCACTTTCGCCGTGATTGCCCCCAGCTAAGACAGGAAAACAATAAACAACCCCCTTGGAGAGGACCTAATAGAGGTGCACGTTACAACAGAGGAATGGGGAGGGGTGGAAGACCACAACCATACCAACAACCACAACAATCACCAGGCAACCAACAAGGACAAGGCCAACCACATAACCAAGCAGAGTTTCAAGGCATGGCAGGGGGACCCATGTATTGGCCATGAAGGTGCCCACCACCAGTGACAGTAAAGGGGGGACAACATTTTCAACTGAACACTGAACCTACCATGACGTGTGAAGTTGAGGGTGTACCACACCAATTCCTCATTGATACAGGATGTACACATTCTGCGATCAAGTTTCCCCAACCACTGTCAGCAGATTCCATACAGGTGGTAGGGGTTACGGGATCACCACAAGCACAAAGCCGAACATTGCCATTAACCTTCTCCTGGGAAAGATACAAAATGAAACATCAGTTCCTCTACTGTCCTAACTGCCCAATTAACCTATTGGGAAGGGACCTACTATGCAAAATGGGTTGCACAATATATCTGACTAAAAATGGGGTGGAAGTTTCAACTAACCCACCCACCTCTACTCTTGAACATCCTGTAAGAGTAATGATGATGCCACTCCTACCTACACCTACACTATCTGAAGAACAAGAAGTATACTGGCTAAAATGCCTATCTACTGGTCCTGATACTCCCCACATACAATACAAGTTCAATCAGTTAAAGACAGGTATTTACACCCTCCACCCATACAAAACTCCTTTGTCAGAGATACATTGCACTCTGAATGTAACTGAGACCGATGACTGCCCCTACACAGAAGACTGGGATGAAAACATGATGGGACTTACTCCAAGCATCAGATGCTATACGATTGTATGTGGCCCAGAAGGGGTAGCAGCACCAGTCCTTCTAACACCACACCAGAAACAATGGTATATGTTGGGGAAGGAATCAGCACCCCACGTCACCCTGGCTGTTGGACACGGTTTTGAAGCAAGGAGTTTAGGTCCCATGATCAGGAGAGCATCTAAACTGACCTGGCTGCCTACCTCAACACCAGGAATTTACAAAGCCACCTCAGAGAAAATGTGGAGGTTCATGGAGCCAGACACCACCGAGAAGTGCCTCCCTGAGCGATTACCTCTACCCAGGCATCATGGAAAACCCTACACAGACCACCCATCAACTGAAGCATTACTCTCTACGGTGGACAGCTCACTCTGGACAACCTCCCCATTTGATGTAGGACAGCTTCAGGTGGAACCTGTAAAAATCAATATGAACAACCAATACCAACAGCCTGTCTACAGACCACAGTATCGTTTGAAACCTGAACAATCTCTGGGTATAAAACCTACCATTGATGGCCTCTTAGGAGCAGAAGCTATCTATCCAACCGTCTCCCCTTGGAACACGCCCATCCTGCCTGTGCTGAAGGCGGGAGGAGAAACATACAGGATGGTGCAAGACTTTCGAGCTGTAAATGATGTTACAACTCCTATTGGTCTCCCAACTCCTGACCCCCATCTCGCATTGAGCAACCTATCACCTACTCACCAGTATTTTACTGTCATAGATCTGGCAAATGCGTTTTTTAGTGTTCCACTGGATGAGACATCCCAACCCATTTTTGCCTTCACCTATGAAGGACAGCAATTCACATACGCTGTCCTTCCACAAGGGTATAGATGTTCCCCAGGAATCTTCAACCACATACTGAAAACCCACCTGTCTGAACTCCAGGTGCCAGAAGGCGTGATCCTCATCCAATATGTCGATGACCTTCTACTTGCAGCTCCTACCTCTGACCTCTGCCTACAAATGACCAAGTCATTACTAGACTTTCTATCAACAAAAGGATACAAAGTCAAGCGAAGCAAGGTTCAATCCTGCAGAAGGACTGTGATTTTTCTAGGAAGAGAAATTTCAGGAGAAGGAGCAGCTCTCTCCAGAAACCACAGGGACTCCATCCTCCACCACCCAAGACCAACTACAGTGGCAGGACTGCTCTCTTTTCTTGGACTGACGGGATATAGCAGAACACATATCCATGATTACACTGCAAGGACAGAGCCACTACGGGCCATTGTACGCCAAGCAGGGGCGAGGAACCTTATGGCAAACCTTGAATGGAACGAAGAGGCGTCAACTGCTTTTGGCCTCCTCAAAACAGACTTATCAGTAGCAGCAGCGCTGACTGCTCCTGATTACAACAGCACATTCCACTTGGATGTTTCTGAAAAAGAGGGATACACGTCATCAGTGCTTTTCCAGAAACAAGAGGGGGAGAGGAAGGTACTGATGTACCATTCCTCCAAACTAGACCCCATTGAGAAAGGACAAACAACATGCTCCAGATATGTGGCAGCAGTAGCAAAAGCAATTGACAAAACAGCTCACCTGGTCATGTGCCATCCATTACAGATCCACACCCACCATGGCGTCGCAGCACACCTGACAAGCAAGGAATTCACATTTAGTGCTAAAAGAAAAACCAAAATTCAGAACAAATGCACACAGTCACACATATCATTTGTCAACACAGACAAGAACATGGCAGACGCACTAAATTCAGAAGAAGGACTGCCACATTCATGCGCTGAAAAAGCGGCTCAGGAACTAAAACTGAGACCAGACCTAAAAAATGAACCCATAGACAACCCTGACCAGTGGCTGTATACTGATGGATGCTGCTACAAAGGTGAGGAAGGAAACGTAGCTGCATATGCTGTGGTGCAACAACTATCTGATGGTTCACATGTCACCCTGGAATCAGCCATCATTCCCCAACCAGCATCAGCACAACTGGCGGAGATCATCGGATTGACACAAGCTCTTATCAGAGCAGAAGGAAAAGTTGTAAATATCTACACGGACTCAGCCTACGCCCATGGATCAGTCCACACTGATGGACCGCAATGGGTGAGAAGAAACTTTACTACAGCGGGAGATGTTCCAATTAAACACAGGACACAGATGGAAAAACTAATCTCCTCAGTAGCACTACCTGCGCAGGTGGCTATTATGAAATGTAAAGGACATCAGCATCTAAAAAACCGAGTAAACGCTGGAAACAATGCAGCAGACAAGGCAGCCAAGAAGGCAGGAGGCTACCTACCCAGACAAATGGTACTACTACCACAGACCTCACAGACTGAACTCAACCAAGGCAATATAGCACAGTTACAGAGCTCAGCAGGACCCTATGAACACTCAGTCTGGGCTCAAAAGGGGGCAACAAAAGGACAGGACGAGCTCTGGAGGTGCCATGATGGAAGATTAGTAGCACCAGCTAAACTCTGCCCTGAACTGTTGCGTGAGGCTCATGGGCCCACGCACGAAGGGAAACTTAAGACCCTCCAAAAGGTCTCACACATCTGGTGGCACCCTCACATGAAAGAAATGACTGATTTGTTTTGTGACGAATGTAGTATATGTGGTAGTCACAACCCAAAGAAGCCATACCAGACACCCATGGGTTCTTACCCAGTACCCAATGCATGTTTTCAGGATATCAGCATAGACTACACTGATATGGGACCAGACAACGTATCTAAAGGGAAAAGATACCTGCTGGTAATGGTAGACAGATTTTCAAAATGGGTAGAAGCCATCCCCACAGCAAGGGAGGATGCTAGATCAGTTATTAAGTGGCTACAAACTGAATTAATACCCAGGTACGGTATACCAAGGCAGATAAGATCTGACAATGGCACACATTTTAACAACAAACACCTGAAAGAGGTGGAGGAGAGGTTCGGAATCGTGCACAGGTTCGGTTCGGTTTATCATCCTCAGTCCCAGGGACTTGTTGAAAGGGCTAACCAAACGTTGAAAGCAAAAATTGCAAAGGTTTGTGCAGGGACAAAATTGACATGGGTTGAAGCCCTGCCACTGGCTTTGATGGCTATGAGAGCATCACCAGGGGCAGGGACCCATCTCTCTCCTCATGAGATAATGACAGGGAGAGTAATGCCAGGTCCACCAAGGGAGGGAGGTCATATGCCCGCCCTTGATGTACAACAGATAGAAATGACTGATTATGTGAAGAAATTGACGGAACTTTCTGCAGCACTCTCTTCTCAGGTGCGGAAGGCCCAAGAGGGGGAGCTGTCGGGAAGTACGCTGCCGCTGAAGGTAAACGTGGGAGACTGGGTAAGGGTTAAAGTCCACAAGAGAAAGTGGCTGGAACCCAGGTGGACTGGACCGTACGAAGTGAAGGAGGTTACTTCACACTCAGTCCAGGTCAGAGGTAAATCAGGAGCACCCTGGCACCATCTAACTCATTGCACACCAGCCCCCACTCCTTCTAGAACACTGACAGAAGTCAGAGCTGATTTGAGCAGCAAAACCACAATTTGATACCAAACATGTATATTCCCTTATGGGACAACGAACCTCGACCAGGTAGAAGGAGGAATCTTTCCCCCTGGGCAAGGTTAGGTATCTCTGATTGTTTGTTCATATGTCTTCTGCTAGGGACAGGGTTAATACTCGGTACCCTATTATGTCTTTTGGATAAACAAAACACGCAGACTCCCCTTGATACTTTAACCTCCAAAAACACCTCAATCACCAACACCTCGGTGCAGTCACGTGTTAGACGTGCTGCAACCGATACAACATGTACTCCCAAGCGGGCTAATAGCATTATTTTTTGTGTACCCTTAAACACCACCACTACTATTTCATTAAAATGGGAAACACTGAAGGAAGTGCATAGTGGTAGCTACAGTAGGTATGATTGGTATATGACTAGAGGGGGTTGGAGTGAGTGGTCATGGAAAAATCTAGTAGCTGAAACCAGAGTTAATTGGGCTAGCTATTCAAAAGGGGAACAAATTCATAGATGGAGGAAGAAGATAACCCTCACAAAGAATGAGAACAGGGGTCTTACCATTATCATTCGAGCAGGAGCAGAGGAAAATTGTCAGGATTTTGTACTAGCACCATATATGGGTTCTGGCTCTAGACAACCACATTGGAAAATAACTGTATGTACCAAACAGCTGTACAAGCCGTCTGCTATGGTGGTGGGGAACGATATGAGAAAACCTAGAAATGTCACAGCAGGATTAGGGGTGAGAGGACAAGTTGCTATGTCAACTACTCCCCGCACCCCTGATGATGTGTTTTTCACTGCTACAGGTATTTCTGGATATTCTAACAATTGGCTACTACTAACAGAGCAAGCAGCAAACATCACACGTAAAAGCTGTGTTGTCTGTATGGGAGCTAGACCCTTATTGCGAATTGTTCCGGCTGTAATTCTCAATGACTGTATATTACCCCTTATGAAAAACGATAATCCTACATCAAACTGTACCGAGTGGGATAAAATTTATCCTTTAGTGTCTAAAGCCGATAAAAAACCTATTTTCTCCTCTACCATAGCTAGGGCTAACTTCACCTGTATTAATATGACAGGTGTGGGGATGACACTGGGAGATCTGCCTGAGAAATGGTGTGGTACTACCCTTCCTGGAAATGGAAGATTTAGATCAGTCTCCCGTGCAGATGTCTGGTGGTGGTGTGGGGGAACGACCCTATTTGATAGACTTCCCACCAACTCAACTGGGACCTGTGCCCTTATAAATCTCTTGTTACCAATTTCAGTTTACCCCATAGGTGTTCACGATTTGATCACTCGTATAAATGACCAAGGCCCTAGAGAAAAACCCAGCCGGACAAAACGCGCGGAGGGGTTCCCAACCAGAGATTCAACATACATAGATGCGATTGGGGTGCCCAGGGGAGTACCAGACGAGTACAAATTAGTAGACCAGGTATCAGCTGGATTTGAATCCTCCTTTTGTTGGTGGTGTACCATTAATAAAAACGTCGATAGAATTAACTACATACATTTTAATGTCCAAAAATTAGGTAACTGGACCCAACGAGGTTTTGAGGCAGTCCATGGACAGTTAGCTGCCACTTCCCTCATGGCTTTTCAGAACAGAATTGCTGTAGACATGCTATTGGCTGAACGAGGGGGAGTGTGTGCCATGTTCGGGGAACAGTGTTGTACTTTTATTCCTAATAATACTGCTGCAGATGGAAGTTTGACAATTGCTCTAGAAGGTTTGAGGACTCTTAATGGTAAAATGAAAGATCATTCTGGGGTTGATACCTCTATGTGGGATTCCTGGATGGATGTTTTTGGTAAATATAAAACCCTCATTTCATCTGTATTAATTTCTATTGCTGTTTTTGTATCAATTCTTACATTGTGTGGATGTTGTTGTATTCCCTGTGCCCGGACTTTGATTAACCGTATAATAACCACTGCTATTGCACCAATTCACGATGATAAAGCCCAGATGTATCCGCTTTTGGGAGCTAATGATTTGGAACTGGACGATTTTGAAGGCGACTATCCTCCCTTATGTAATGTTAAAAGTGGACCTCTTGATTGTCCTTTTAGGCAATCCTGAATGTCTGTATGGTGTTATCCCTGGGGGTGGATGGGCCTGTCATTATTACAAACCTGAACAGCGACAATTGGAAGTTAGCGATTTCGAAAATTAACTCTGATTGTTGTGGTCACTCACTAGAGGGGGACTAACATTGTTTAATTACTGTTTTTTATCATTGCATTATGCGTTATCATGTGTTATTTTTTTCTTTCCTACATTATTGTTTTTCCTTTTAAGACTGATTCAACTATGCTTAATGCCAACATAATTAATGGATCACGTCTAGTAGACGTGAAGAGGGGGATTTGTCGTAATAAATATAAAATGTTATAGCTTGGTCTGACTAAAATGTTGTGCATGACCCATTCTGTGTTAGGAGCTTGTTTTCAATCAATGCTCTACCTATGTGAGAACAATGGACAGAGGACCATCTCTTGTCAAGGACAACACCCACGCCTCCAGGCCACAATCTATGTGGCTCCCCACGAGTTCTTTTGACACAAACAATTCTCTGTGGAAACTATACTTCTTTCTACTGATCGGGTGCCTAGGGCAGAGGACTCTGCTGTGCACAAATGGGGCTTCTGCTCTGGACAGAGCAGACGCGCCTCCTACGCCTCGGGAACTAATCGAGGGACTAGAAGAGGGACCCCTTTCATTGTGTTGCATGGTATAAAGTAATGCTGAAAACTCTGTTTTTTATCCCTTCTCAACTGTTCTCCATAAGAGGCAATTGAATGGGTCCATGCATGTAGCTTGAGCAGATACCAGCTATCTCTGTGTTTAATAAACTGCCTTTTTGCTTAAACATATTCCTCTCCGTCTAGCGTCGTTGGTTTGTACTTCCTCTCCTTATGGTTTCACCAACATGCCTCACTGCCGCTCCCCTCAGACTCTCGCTGTTCTCTCTCCATCACTAGCTCCTCCACGACCTCCTCAATAGCGCGTAGCTCTATAACTTCTCCCTCATCTGCTCTTTTCCCGCTCACCGCTCTGGCGTAAGAGGGGGCTGCCTTTGAGCAGTGACGGAACAGGTGCTCATCTGAGCTGCACAGACTGCAGCGTTTAGGCACGGTGCAATCCCTCATTACATGGCCGAGGGTCCCACAGTTTCTGCACCTTGTCTGGGTGCAGGCATCGGTGAGGTGCCCGTACGTGCTGCACTTCCTGCAGAAGCGAAGCTGCCCAGCATACATGAGGTAGCCCCTGTCTGCACCGATTGAAAAAGACGCGGGAGGATGGAGGTAGCCATCATGGCCGCTCTCGTCCTCCTTTAGCAGCACGCGAAACTGCCTCTTCCCTGTCCAGATGCCTAGGGCGTCCTTAATATCTCTCACTCCTGGCAAGATGGTCACGTACCGGCTGAGGTAGCACACTAGTGTTTCTTCAGTGACCCAGGGGTTGAACATGTCACGGTTAGGACCCTCAGATTGTGCCTGCACAGGGACTCAACTTGAAAACTACTTAGGGTGGGTGCTGTCGCGTTCGTTCAGAAGAGCCCTCTCACCTCCTCCAGCCGGGTGATGGTGTAGAACAACACATCATAGAACTTCTCGGGTGTGTTTTGTTGCAGACAGTGCACATCATCTGCTGTCAGCCGTAGAGGTCCAAAAATAACTTATTTTCCAAAACGAAATCTCTCCATCAAACTTTCTTTTCCAGTCCATTGAAAACGCAGTGTTCTTCAGTCCAGCTGCTACCGACTGTGAAGTGGCAGATGACGACATCACTCCACCTTCAGGATCGCCTGGGTACTGCACTCGATCTTGATCTTAGCCAAAAGGCGAAAAGCTATATAGCAATGCTTTCAGCAGGAAGGGGCCGACACTTCAAATTCAATGATGGTTAAACCAAAATGAGCTCGGTAAACTTTCCGCCAAATAACAAAGATAATGCTTTTAGAAAATGGTGGCATAGAATGGGAGTTGATCAATGTTGAGAATAACCACATTTGACTGTTACAAAGAAACAAGTTGTTAGGTTCTAAAGTCACATGGTGATCCGCCCTCCAATCGGAGCATTGTTAAATTAAAATTTGATTAACAGCTCAATTAGAATAATAATATATCACGGGTGGGGGGGTAAACAATTTGGAGATAATAATATTGACATAACATTTGATCTTGTATTAAATATCTCTGGTAGCATTGCTGCCACAATGGAACTGAAACAATTGTCCACTTGGTGGAGTTCCACCAACCTTTGCTTTTTCCAATCTGTCCTGTGTGGTACATCAAACTGCATTTGAATGTTGAACCACTTGACTTCAATACATCATCAATGCAAATAATGTGAACAATAAAAATAGCCTAAGTCTTTTTATTATTATAATCTATAATTTAACAGATTCTCTGTGTTCATATTCCATATTAACCACTCTCCATTTCTGATTTTCTGTGTTCGTATGCCATATTAATCACTCTCCATTTTTGATTTTCTGTGTTAGTATTACTTATTATCCTCTCAGGGTTTTGTTTATATTATGATAGCATCCAATAATAGAGCATCAATCTCCCTTTGGTTCACTGGAACAAATGTTCATGAATAACTGAATGTTTGTCCTTTCTAAAGTCCAGTCCAGTGGCCTGCCTGTTGGTAATGCTGCAATGATGGATCGTATTCCATCTCAGTGGTTGGACTGAAGAGACACACTGACTGCACCCTGTCTGTCTGTCTGTCTGTACCCTGTCTTCCAGTACCCTGTTTGTGTCAGTCTGTACCCAGTCTGTCTGTCAGTCGGTACCCTCGGTCTTACTGCCATGTGAGGAAGGCTGTCAGTTCATCCCTTGCATGCGTTGAGTGAACCCATGCATAGCATGCAAAGACTGTGCACTGAACCAGGGGAAGGGTTCAAACCACCAGGACCACAAGCCTGTGTCTGACTGACCCATGAACCTTGACCTGGTGACCTTGTTGCCTGACCAATAGGGAGACACACCAACCTTG